TAGATGTGTTTATGTATATATATATACATATATATATATATATATACATATTTATTTATGTGTATATGTGTATGTATATATATATGTATTTATATATATATATATATATATATATATATATATCAGCTCTTGTCCATAGCATACGGGATCACCGAGCACTGTCTCTGTTGTACCGAATATACGCTTGCACCGATGTCGACCCGTCCCAGTTCTGTTTGGTCAGCGCAAAAAGGAGTTCAAAAATCTTCTGTTCAAGTTCTAAGTTTAACTTGCCGTACTATACACGACGCTTCACGTATGCGTAGAAAATTGATACACAGATATATATCACACTCACAAGTCAACCTGACCTACTCGCACACTCACAGGTTATCACTGAACTGGTTGTAGCGGATGTGTGTCTTGATCTAGAGATAAAGAACCTGTCAGGACAAACGGCCCTGTTTGTGAGCGTGGCCAATAAAAACAAATGGTTCGCTGAAGCGCTGCTGAGCGCTGGGGCAGACGCAAATGCGGTCAGCGAAGGAGAGACACCTTTGGTAAGTGAACACGTGTACGCGTGTTTCTATCTACTCACACATGTGCGGTTGGGTGTGTCCTAGGTTTTAGGGTTGTTGTGTATGCAAACACGCATATAGTTATGTGTCATGGCAGAATGTGGGGTTTTAGGGTTTTGTCACGGCGAGAATACTAGTGTGATGCATGCATGCACATGCAATAGAACAGCCACAGAGCTACCTGGCCAATAGTTTAAGGCTTGAGTACTGTCTGTATTCACTCAGTAGCTTATGTTATACACGCGTGCACATGCTATATATTACTCATGCATGCACATGCTATATATTACACATACATGCTCATGTTATATATTATACATGCATGCACATGTTATATGCGTATGAGCGCACTCTCATATCGCTGTGTTGTATTCAGGGGTTGTGCAGTGGATCATAATCCATGAAATTAGCGGGTTGTTCTTAACAGTAGTTCACACCTGTGTGCTTGCCATTCGTTTATTCCATGTGCATATTTAACAACGGTTTATTTTAACTGTGAACCTATTGCTGTCTGTCTCTCTCAGCAGTGGTCTACATCTGTGTACGTGCCGCCCTTTTATTGCAAGTATACACTTAACAAACGGCTCAACTGTACACCTATGATTGTCTGTCTCTCTCAGACCGTTGCGTGTGCCTTGGGCGACCTATCACTCGTGAAGCTAATGGTGGACAACAACGCAGATGTGCACTACCAAACACCGCACAACGGCACCTGTCTACACGTCGCTGTGTTGCAACAGCACGAACAAGTGGTCCAGTTCCTGCTCCAAGCAGGCGTGGATGTGGAGGTTTGTTAAATGTATATATATATATATATATATATATATATATCTATCTATCTATCTACTATATAT